ACACTTTCTGAAATCTGCGCCTGGATGTCCATATTTCTATAGGTAACTGTCCGTACTCCTTGATGCTCTCTAATCATAGACAAGCAAAGACTGCTCTAGCTACAACAAACTACATATCTGTTCGTGTCCATATTTCACTTCAATTCCCAATTACTTCATTCATGTAGATCTAGAATGTTTACTGACTTTCTGTTACATATAGCACATACAATGGTTTTCTGGTTTCAAAATGTTTTTAAGGGTTTGTAGCTGCAAGTTTGAGGTAGTGTGCATCGTCAGAACAAAAACATAATTGAACAGTGTATGTAGCAGATATAACTTCGGTAGTTAGTGAAGCTTTTGTAATATGTTATAAAGACCATTGTAAGATCTGTGTGTATATCTCGCAGGAAAAACAGCAGAAATCATTACTGAGAGTTGTTTACAATAGCCTAGGTCATACTGTCCTGATGTCCGTGTTGGGTGGTGGTAGGCAGGGTTGTTTACAATAGCCTAGGTCATACGGTCCTGATGTCAGTGTTGGGTGGTGGTAGGCAGGGTTGTTTACAATAGCCAAGGTCATACTGGCCTGATGCCAGTGTAAAGTGGTGGTAGGCAGGGTTGTTTACAATACCCTAGGTCTTACTGGCCTGATGTCAGTGTAAAGTAGTGGTAGTCAGGGTTGTTTACAATAACCTACATCATACTGTCCTGATGTCAGTGTTGGGTGGTGGTAGGCAGAGTTGTTTACAATAGCCTAGGTCATACTGGCCTGATGTCAGTGTTGGGTGGTGGTAGGCAGGGTTGTTTACAATAGCCTAGGTCATACTGGCCTGATGTCAGTGTAAAGTAGTGGTAGTCAGGGTTGTTTACAATAACCTACATCATACTGTCCAGATGTCAGCATAAAGTGGTGGTAGGCAGAGTTGTTTACAATAGCCTAGGTCTTACTGGCCTGATGTCAGCATAAAGTGGTGGTAGGCAGGGTTGTTTACAATAGCCTAGGTCTTACTGGCCTGATGTCAGTGTTGGGTGTTGGTAGTCAGGGTTGTTTACAATAACCTACATCATACTGTCCTGATGTCAGTGATGGGTGTTGGTAATCAGGGTTGCTTACAATAACCAAGATCATACTGTCCTGATGTCAGTGTTGGGTGTTGGTAGTCAGGGTTGTTTACAATAACCTAAATCATACTGGCCTGATGTCAGTGTTGGGTGTTGGTAGTCAGGGTTATTTACAATGACCAAGATCATACTGTCCTGATGTCAGTGTTGGGTGTTGGTAGTCAGGGTTGTTTACAATAACCTAAATCATACTGACATGATGTCTGTGTTGGGTGTTGGTAGTCAGGGTTGTTTACAATAACCTACAACATAACTTGCCTGATATCAGTGTTGGGTGGTGGTAGCCAGTCTGATGTTCATTTTTGATGGAGTGGTCAGGGTTGTTTACAATAGCCTACATCTAGTGTTCTGACGTCAGTGTTTGTTGAAGTAGTGAGAGTTGTTGAAGCCTACATCATGTGATTGCATGGCCCTGTTAGATGTTGGTAGTTTATCAACACATTGTGTATCACCTACCCAATCATCTCCAGTGTATCAGATTGGATTGTGTGTAGCCATTCAAAACTGTTGTACGTCATTAAAGTGTTTAAGCAGACCATCTGTGTCTTCAGAGTTATCTTTGATCCAAATTATGAATAAAAAACACAACATACACCAACTTATGAATTTACTTGGCAATTACAAAATGTTATCAAAGATTTACATTGGCAGTCACTATTTCAAGATTCTCTAGAATGTCTACTTATGAATATTTAAATTCTGACCAAAACCTGTTATGGTTCTGTGATTTCATATGATGTACAAAAAAGGTAGTGGTCATGTCTGTAAGGACAGTGTTAGTAACTTGTGTGACCACCATTGGTTATAAGACCACAGCATTACAATATCAGTTCACAGAGCTGTGGTCTGGGACGGCATTCCACTCCTAGTTCAATGCCTGCACCAGTTCCTGTAATTTGGAGGGCAGATTTGACCAAGGCCATACATGTCTTACCATCTTTCAAGAACATCCCAGGTGTGTTCTGTTGGTTTCAGATCACAGAATTTTTACAGACTAAACCAACACTAGGACATTGTTTAGCAGTAAGAACGTCCAAGTCATGTGACTGGTGTGGGATGTTGCATTATCATACTGCAAAATAGACCTAGCTCCTTGACACTGTAAAGATGGAACCATGATGGGTGCTAAAATTTCTTCCTATACCAAATTGCATTTAAAATGCCATTGAAGATGACTAATCAGGTTCGATTTCCACAGGATACGCCATCCCAGATCATCACACACTTCCCTCACCAAACCTAAGATGCTAGAGTACAAAGCAGTTTGCCAAATGTTCTTCTGGCGTAGCCATTCTAGCTGCCTCCAATCATTGTACATCAAACAAAATCTCAACTCACCGCTGTAAGAGTCCTAGTCGGTGTCATCGAGTTCAATCACGGCAATTGTTGTGATGGTGTTGATAGGGTTGCAGGAAGAAACTGATCCCAAAGATGCTGAAGCAGTATCAGACAGACTTCACAAGGGGTGGTAACTCATAGCTAGACTGTTCCTTACACAGTCAGATGTTGAAGCAGTTAGAAAAAAAAATGTCTGCAATGAAATGTTTTTTGCTACACCCAAACCAGCTTGTAACCTGACATTGTGTTGCGCCAACTTTGAGGATGCCAATTGCCATATTTCTCTTTTCTTTCCCACATAACCAAAAATAACACTTGGTCAGGATTATCCACTATCATTTCATGTAAGTTTAATCTCAATCCCACTGGTGGAACTTGAGAAGTTTGGCAGAGGAGAAGATGGTAGACTTAGCATGATGACTATAGGCCATCATGGCCTTTCAGGTCCGATGTCCTGAAAATGCCCTACAGTAAACCATAAGATGTCACCTTTCTCTACAGTTAACCATCAGATGTCACCACACCCTACAGTAAACCATCAGATGTCACCACACCCTACAGTAAACCATCAGATGTCACCACACCCTACAGTAAACCATCAGATGTCACCTTTCTCTACAGTGAAACATCAGATGTCACCACACCCTAGAGTGAAACATCAGATGTCATCACACATTACAGTTAACCATCAGATGTCACCACACCCTACAGTAAACCATCAGATGTCACCACACCCCACAGTAAACCATCAGATGTCACCACACTACAGTAAACCATCAGATGTCACCACACCCTACAGTAAACCATCAGATGTCACCACACCCTACAGTTAACCATCAGATGTCACCACACCCTACAGTAAACCATCAGATGTCACCACACCCTACAGTTAACCATCAGATGTCACCACACCCTACAGTAAACCATCAGATGTCACCACACTCTACAGTTAACCATCAGATGTCACCTTTCTCTACAGTAAACCATCAGATGTCACCACATCCTACAGTAAACCCTCAGATGTCACCACACCCTACAGAAAACCATCAGATGTCACCATATCCTAAAGTAAACCATCAGATGTTACCACACCCTACAGAAAACCATCAGATGTCACCACATCCTACAGTAAACCATCAGATGTCACCACATCCTACAGAAAACCATCAGATGTCACCTTTCCCTACAGTGAAACATCAGGTGTCACCACATCCTACAGTAAACCATCAGATGTTACCACATCCTACAGTAAACCATCAGATGTCACCACACCCTACAGTAAACTTTCAGACGTCACCACACCCTACAGTAAACCCTCAGATGTCACCACACCCTACAGAAAACCCTCAGATGTCACCACACCCTACAGTAAACCATCAGATGTCACCACATCCTACAGTAAACCCTCAGATGTCACCACACCCTACAGTTAACCATCAGATGTCACCACACCCTACAGTAAACTTTCAGACGTCACCACACCCTACAGTTAACCATCAGATGTCACCACACCCTACAGTAAACCATAAGATGTCACCTTTCTCTACAGTGAAACATCAGGTGTCACCACATCCTACAGTAAACTATCAGGTGTCACCACATCCTACAGTAAACCCTCAGATGTCACCACACCCTACAGTTAACCATCAGATGTCACCACACCCTACAGTAAACTTTCAGACGTCACCACACCCTACAGTTAACCATCAGATGTCACCACACCCTACAGTAAACCATAAAATGTCACCTTTCTCTACAGTGAAACATCAGGTGTCACCACATCCTACAGTAAACTATCAGGTGTCACCACACCCTACAGTAAACCATAAGATGTCACCTTTCTCTACAGTAAACCATCAAATGTCACCACACCCTACAGTAAACCATCAGATGTCACCACACCCTACAGTTAACCATCAGATGTCACCACACCCTACAGTAAACCATCAGATGTCACCACACCCTACAGTAAACCATCAGATGTCACCACACCCTACAGTGAACCATCAGATGTCACCACACCCTACAGTAAACCATCAGATGTCACCACATCCTACAGTAAACCATCAGATGTCACCTTTCTCTACAGTGAAACATCAGATGTCATCACACCCTACAGTAAACCATCAGATGTCACCTTTCTCTACAGTGAAACATCATATGTCACCACACCCTACAGTAAACCATCAGATGTCACATTTCTCTACAGTGAAACATCAGATTTCATCACACCCTACAGTTAACCATCAGATGTCACCTTTCTCTACAGTGAAACATCAGATGTCATCAGATGTCACCTTTCTCTACAGTAAACCATCAGATGTCACCACACCCTACAGTTAACATCAGACTTTACTGCACACTACAGATAAGCATCATAAGATCATGGTTCACCACAGTAGGTAGCTAGCTTCACCACTCATTACAATTAACCATCATGGTCTGTCAGTCACTATACACAAATACATCTACTTTATTTGTGGTAGGAGTTCACAGCAGTCAGCTGGTCTATTAAACAGAATTATTAAAGCCTGTATCAATAACTGAGACAAAAACAATTTAAAGAGTGACACCAATTTAATTAAAATTTTGAAGATAGATTGTTATAAAAATAAACTTTTCCAAAACAAAATAAATAATAATTATGAATGCAAACTCAAGTTATGTCCAACACTTCACCCACGTCATATATCTTACAAAAAAACACAGTATATAACAGCAACAGTTGTTTTCCTTGTATCACCAATGTTTAGCACTAATATAAAATTCACTGTCCTGAATACCAGTTTACAAGTGGAACACAGTTTCAGGATATACTTTAAGTTTCAGTCTCCATTTTGTTAATTCTGACAAGATCTATAATTTTCACAGAAGGCATTATAATTCACAAAATAGAAACTATATTTCTGCTAGGTTAATTTGTTGAATTTTCACATTATCATTCTGGAGATGTTATAACCACATGAAATCTTAAATATGGAATTTACGAAGCGTTCTCTAAAGCATTTTTCTACTGCATCAAAAATATTTTCCAGGTGTTGTTATCTGCATACTGATGCTTTCTTCTTCACATTAAACTGTAATGTTTACAACATTCTAAAACACAAGTACACCAGTTATTGATGTTTAATTTCGAGATTCAAGGAAGTTCAAGGAATAAATTATGCTAAAAAGCACAGGTAGAGAAAATATGTTAATACTGTGATGTTGAACATATCTGTTTCAAAGTGCTAAAATTCATTAGATGTTCAAATTTAAATGCTTTGCGTTATGAAAATTCCAAAACTGTTCTTTTTACCTGTACAGTGTTTGTCAAAAACAAAACCATCTTGGTTGACTGTTAATGTGTTTTATATATACATTTATATGTACAGAACAAATACTACCAGGACATTATATAGATAGATATTTAAATATTGGCACCATTACAAACCTGTACAGTTTACAAGATCACTATTGGAACATTAAATATCCAGATAATATCAGAACCATAAGGTTATTTTGGGCCACGCAATCCAGTGAAGGGATTAAGAAAATGAAGGAGAATGTACAATACAATCTTCATTTCCTAGTCTGATTTATAATACAAAATACTTGTCAAAATGCTAATCAAATATATTATATTCCATGGAATAGGTTTGTGGATTTCAGCATAAATTCTGACATTATATATTTGTAAAATACCTGAGAAAATATGCATACAGTTGCTGTGTGTGAAAACAGTTGGCGGATTAGCTTAATCAGTTGTACCAGAACACAAAACTCATGTGAACACAGGTATACCTAACTATCTTGAAATGTTCCAAAACTTTCGTACACATCGATTGATCTTTGGTACCAAAACATGTCACTTTTAAGCACACTATTGTACCAAACCATGTTACTCTTGCATACAAAAACATTCACTTATTTTAACAGTACATGTCCCTCTTGTTACACAGATATAGACCTAGTGTATAACACATCACTTGTACATGAATTGATGTTATCCATTGAACAGAAATGTATCTACCATCTCTATCCTGCAATAAGCCAAAGATGCCAACAGATAACCTCCTAGAGGGACGGTTTATTCCTAGACAACTAGCTTGTTAATTACAGGCATAGGCCTATTGTTAGATATATATATAGTACCAATCTTTCACCAGGTAGTATTTCAATACTCTAACATACATATTTTAGTAGTAATCTTACTTCAGCATTTTTACAAGCATTGTACTAACATATGATTGCAGTTTTCTGTATTGCATTATAGTAATTACCGTATTTGACCCAATAAGTGCCCATGTCCCTATAAATGCCTCCTCCCCCATCAGATACCTAAAAGTCTAGATTTACTTACCTTTTAGTCACGATCAGGAATTGTTTTAAGTCGTTTATAAGGAGATGTACTCCAGAAAAACGTGAAAACGTAAAAAAAACTTTTTATATCTAAGATGATCTAAGATGGTTTTATTGCATATAAAAAACTAGTGATTTTATAAATACATGAACCGTACAGTAGATTTTTTAGTACTGAATGTGTTTCTTTTACATCTAAGATGGTTTCTGATAAGCGCCCCCCTTAATTGCAATTTTTAAAGTGCCCTGGGCGCTTATTAGATTGAATACGCTATTGCTTATGTGCCAATTCATCATTGCACTAATTTGTTGAAAATTGACGATGAGCTCAAATTTGATTACACTAAAATAAACATATCTATAATACATTCTCTACCTAATTATGAAATGCAACATATAATCTCTTTCTTACAGGAATATCTATGTCCATAACATGTTCCTCAGTAGAGGCATACTAAAAGGTGTTAAAATAAATAGTATCTACACAAAAATTCAAACATCTATGTGAAATTAGAAACCACACACCAAGAAAGAACAGCTATTTATGAATCACCTAATTAAAACCCTCCATTATTTACCAAATTTGACACCATCTAATATAAAGCTGTATTTTCCCTGGTGGCAGCATTGTTGACAAAATGAAGCTGTGTGTGAGATTTCACAGTCACAATGGTACTAGATAGTTCAGTCTTTGAAGAACAGTTCTGACACCTGTTTCATAGTGTCTTCAGGACTGGTTACTTTGTGTCCAATTGTCCGTGGATCACTGAATATCTCATGGTCATTGCCACCCTAAAACAAAGTTATAAATAACTATAATTATCAAGTGAACTAATATATATATATAAATATATATATAACATATGAAAGCCTTCACTGTTATGCTGGCCAGAATCTGATCACATGTAGATCTAGATATTATGATACTTTCAGGTAATTATGAACTAAATCTGATGAGAAATTCTCAAGTATGGGACAGTACTTCACCATCAGACGGGTTATGTTTTGGGGCTTGATGGACAGACATAGGTAAATGTACACTTAACACAAGCCCGGCTACACACATGACATTAATCCAAAATGAAAAAAAACAGGCTTACATAGAGAACCATGTATATCCCTATCCTCTGACCTTAATAAAAGTGGTCTAGTGTTACTTCTTAACTATGACTAAGGACTGCAAAAAATAATTGAGGAAGTGAACAACTTGGAGACAAGGAGGTATCTGATAACATGGTGTGAATGAACGGTAAATCTGTTGAAGTATTTACAAAATATCTTGTATTTAAGTTTTTCATATCAAAAATGACCATATTTGACGCTCAATCAAAATCTAATGAGATGTAAAATTTAAGGTTATGATACTATGATGGGAATTAACCTGCCGAGAACTTCATGCAATTAAATGTACATAAAGTTTGTATCATAAGTGACAAGGCTGAACAAACCTAAACTGATGCTTTTCAAATTGCATTAAGTAAATGATGCTCAAACTCATTAGACATTGTCTATTCCTGTCCTTGGGTAACGAAAGAGCTACTTCGGTTTGAATCAATAGTACAACCTATGATCCACTAATTGTACAGCCAATGACCAACCATCTGTACAACCAATGAACCGTGAATGGACAGCCAATGACCCTTTAACTGTACAGACAACGGTCCATTAATTGTACTGATATTAATCATTTCTACTTCTTGACTTCCCAATTAATTTTAACAGATGTCTAATCTACATTCTAAATATCAATTACCATTGTTATTGGCAGTTATCAGTTTTCACAGATTTAAAGTGTTTTCTTCAATTTCAGTATAAAGACACATTACTTACTGGATCTGTTTTGTCTCCAAAAAAATGTATTGTTTTGTAATTTCCCTTTTCTATAAACTTCAGACAGAAAGTCTTGTCCCAGCCTACAGGGTACACGTCTATACTGATCTGGCCACCAATGGCAAACACCAGACCTGCATCAGGGAATTCTTTCATGAGGGCTGCCCGAAACGTCTCTCTCATATTATGCTCCTGAAATTTAAAGTTAAGCTGTGGTTCCTACATATCTACTAATATGCACTAGAGCATAAATTGTTTATATTTGAAATTCCATTTGTTATGAAACAAAGAAATCTACTTGAGAATAGATAAATATCTACATTGTACTTGCATGCTCATATTTCAGACTCAAGTATTTATCTGTTGCCCAATGAATACAATAGAGACTGAAAAATCATCACATAATCAAAGGACCTAGAAAAACTCAGAAATTATCAGGAAATTATTAAAATTGACTAAATATACAACAAAGTATATATGTAAAAGATCATAAAAACAACTGCTTGTAGAGTTGGTAAATAGATAGGTCTATGTACCACACAACAAAGCTGAGGTTACATGTACTTCACTAGAACAAGTAAGCCACCTAACCACACCCACTTACCTAATATAGATAACAAATTATCATAGCTTAATAACCCTAACTCAGAGGATTGACGCCTTGGTTTCCTGATAAAACCTCAACACAAGGACATCTAGTGCTTTACTTAACCTTATCATAAGCCGCAAATTGAAGCCTCTCTGCCTGTGAACAGCTTCTGCCAACGGGACAAATGTTGATCATACTACTGCGAAATTCAAAGAACGTTCCTCTGTAACATCAAATTTAAAACATGCTTGCAAACTCTTGAAATTGTATCCGGGTAAGTGAGTGCCTTTAACAGAAAACACAAAATCTAAACAAGATGGTTCAATGGACAGATAAATATATGGACTGACCAAAAAGGCAGATCAGGCACATACATGTACTACATGCAATGTTGCTGGAATAATTTCAGCACTGAGTTTTGTAACAAATTCATATCTCTATGTTTTCTGCTCCAATTTAAGCAAAGTGTTTCTATACCATTTTTGTAGTACTACTGTAGTGTTAGAATCATACCGTGAAGACATTTTAATACCATGTTCATTGTACCCCCATAGCAGATGGGTTAACATCCTCAAACTCAAGAAATGTTTGTAAATGTTCTATCAAAACTTTTATGGAGGATTAACGTTATGAGACAAAAAACTTCTTAATATCTTTCTAAACATCAGATGTTTCTTACCACTATGATTTAATTGTATCTAATATCAAATTATGTCAAATTAATAAATGAATCTAATAACATTATACCCTATCAGCTAAGTCACATCCATTAAGACATGTTCCTTAGGTTATATAATTATTGGTCAGCGATAGATGTGTTAGTTATTCCAATGCAGTCATCTAAGACAATTAGTGTTCAGGTGTGTTAGATATCTCTCTACTGTACTTTATATGTACTCGTGCCTGGGCTTTATGACTTTTTGCACTTGTTCACCTAAAACTCGTATGAAATTATTTATCACAGGTTAAAAACCACTCAACCGTGAATTAATTTTGTAGGGTATGAATCGCATGACCAGATTTGTGACTTCCAAGTGTTGCAATGTAAATGATCAATCAATACCAACTCTTGGAAGTATCAGTTATAACGCTTGTATTGAGCAATTTATAGAGAATTTATCTCCGATAAACATATAACATAAAATTGCAGCACTACCACAAGTGTCTTCATTTCTTACAAAATCAATCTATATTCTGCTCCTTATAATGACCAAGCTATTTATGCATAAACAACTTTGTGTTTTCATAGTGTCATCCATCGCTTTTTTATTACATCACTGTACTGTATTAAGGTATCGTTTCCTTATTCTGTAATACTTGCATAGTATTACTTTAACATTATCGTAACATTTGTATCACTTCTGTATTGTTTGCAACTAAGATGGAACAGCAAACATGCACAGGTCTCTAGTAACGAATTCATAACTTCAGCACTGCACCAGAGGAATTCATCATTTCTACAATGTTTTCAATTAATATTGCTATGATGTGAGATTCAACAGTAAAAATGAAAAGATGGTGTTTTGAATATTCATGTCTTCGTTTTCTGTAAAACACTTAATACACTAAACTAGCCTTCAGCCCTTTTCAAAATTCAATAAAGCTTGACCTTTTGGCTGGCAATGTAATTGCTGACATGTATTTCATGGCAAAATTGATGACTTTCTGTAACTTTTCCTCTCCGACGTAATTCAGAAGATTCTGTAACATAAAACATCATGATGAGGACATAACATTAATGCATGCTGTTAATTAAACAGTGAAAACAGATAGTATCTGTATACATAGGATCATTTCATACAAGATTTTATCAAAGCTGTCTTTAGAAGTTTTTAGATGTGAATGGCGAGTAAAAATAAAAAGTCAAGACAAGTTTCATAAATCTCATATGAAATGAAAACAAATTAAAGATACTTTTTACCACATATCTCCGAAAAGTTACATTTTGAGAGGTTTTAAAGCAAAAATGTGGAGGACAATATCAAAAGAAGGCAGCCATTTTATTGCACCACTTTTACAGTGTATATTGACAAACATATACAAAAATCAACAAGAATAGAAAGTACAACGACACTTTGAAAATGCTGACAAATCACATTTATGAAATTCTGTGCTCATTTGAGTCCAGGACCAAAAGCTTTCATGTGAAACTCACCAAAATGTTGAGTGCACTTAAATAATTATCTCTATATCTAGATGTTTGGTTTTTGTCAAAGTTTTAGAAATAGCCCTCTAGACATGCCCCAAAAAATCCTAAATGAAGAAGTAATTTTAAAAGTTAAGGTAAATTTGGGATTCCATTACAAATATGAGTGTACTTAAAATCATGGTCTAGATTACGAAAAACTTTGATGCACTGTATAAACTATTTACTGTACATACCTCTTGGCCAACTTTTTCACCATCCTTGAAGGCAACTAGACCATTTTCAGAGAAAACATAGTCAAATTTCTTTGTGACTGTATCTGAAAAGCAAACATGCACAAGTTATGAATCAAGTTTTCAAACATTTTGCTACCCTTATTTTCCTCAAATGACATATTTCATGCATTACAAACATATCTTACTGACTTCAAAGACAAAATCAGTGTAGGAAGTCATAATAGTGCATATCATAGCATTGACAGTTTGGTTAGCGGAATCCAAATTTACCAGTCAGACCTGACATTTAGTTGATACATGTATCGGAAGAGTCTATATAAGAAATTGTAAGAATGTATAGATTTCTAATGAAGTTTAGCGTTTATCACTGGTACCAGGCACAATTTATTCACCACAGTGTAATATATAGTTGCTGTACAGACATAATTAAATACAACATCTAACACTATGGTGATCATCCTCAATACTCCAGGGGTTATGACCACTTTCGACCTCTGCACCCTTGGAACATGTTATGGCAAAAGTGTGACACCCTGTAGACAAGACAGAAAGACTAGTTTGATCCTTTGATGTTCATCAAACCAATCTTGAGGTCGCATAATGGTATATCGTACTGGCTTTGAAGTTGGGCGTCACTGCTTTGTAATCTTCAAAAGGAATGTATCAGCCTGTGGTTGGTCAGTTAATCTTTGTATATCTATATTTAATACTACATTTGTACCATTCTGTTGTATTACATTTATTATCCTGTTCCTTTATGATGCTATCAACTGGTATTGATAACTATAGGACAAGTCTGATACTTGGGGTGCCGTAACTTATATACCATTTTTAGTTGGATCCATCTGTTCCTCTATCTTCACCAGATCTGAACCTCCTACTAAAGCCACATGGACTTTACTTTTTAATTTTTGAAGAAATTCCTCCATATCTGGTAAAACTTTCTGCAAAAGAATAAGCGAAGAAAAAGAAAATGAGAAAATAATTTGTGTGCTCTATTGCAACATATTGACAACACCATTAGAGCAGCTGAAGTTATTTTTAAATAATGCCCAAGTTAAATTAATATTATTTCTGACTTTCTCTACAGAGTTTCAGTATAAGAAGTGATAAAAAAGTGAATGAGTGAGTTAGGAAGGGAGAATGAGTGTGACATGAGCCTTAATCCAAGTGAGAGGCCGGATGTGTACTTTTGTACACTGTATGTATACAATGTATGCTACTTGGAAATATGATTACACAAATGAAAGTTTATACCTGTGTTGTTTCTTACTCTCATCCAGTGGTTATCCAGTACAAATACCACCCTTACTATTTTATGAGACAAATACAGTGACCTTTCTGTAGAAAATTAGACAGGAAATCAGAATATTATGTGGACTCTGATTATATACTCTTTAAAGTCTAAAGCGTTACCCTCCAGTTTTATCTCAGGTCACACATCTGGACACATGGTATGACATTGAACCACTCCAGTTTGATTTCCTAATTTATGTCACAGTACCTAATTCACATCTTTATCTTGAATTTGATTTTGTAATTTCATTAAGCTATAGTATTTTTTAGTTGTGCTATGTACCATTAACCCAATGTGATAACTTTTTGTTGATACTTGCCCATCACATGATGCATGTTTTGTTGAATTTTATTTCAATATCCCTTCTGTTATTATGTTTTTTATGTTATGTTTTTATGTCTGATTGTATACAACAGAAAATAAAATTCCTTGTATCTAATAATATATAGTGTGTGAGGTGTTTATGATCATGGCGAATATATTTAGAAGGGGTAAGGTGGAGCAGAGGGGAGTATCCATTGTACACGTACATATACATATAGAAAAACACAACCAGTTCACACTAGATTCCAGGCAGAGAAACAGTCCTCACAATCCTTTTATACTACATACATAGCAGCCTGCAGGAACAGAACATCTATGAGACCCGAACAATAATATAACTAATTTATTTTTGTGGTTTAAAACGTAAATTCAAGCACGGACATTCATGATTCAACCCAGGCAAACACTTTTAAATCATAAGTGTTCAAGAGTGTTAACTTTGAAACGTCATTAAATAATATGATACTGACATAATATTCGACAGAAAATTTGATTATAAAATAATTAGTGTTGATGCAATACCGCTCAATTTTTTCGTCATTTCTTTCCCACATTTCATTTTCAGACTATTTTAGTGGACCGATTAGCATGCTTTCAGATACATTTCCATCAGCTAATGACACTTGTCTCCAGCCCCGATCTCATTGTTTCATTGCAAGTAGTGTCGAACAGAGGATCTTTTTAAACAATGGTAAACAAACTTTGGTAGGGCCTTCATTTAGTAGAGTCATTGACAACTCTCAACTACAAGTCATAGCTAGAATGAAGTAGGTCCACGTGTTACTGTGACAGTATCTTTCAGGAGGCTAAGTCAATCGTCTTATCATAAGTAAATATTACATTTGGAGGCACTGGTGCCTTTTACCACTTACGAGTCTTGGAGCCGTGAGAGTTCCATCGACATCAAATATACAGATAGTAGACGTGTCACGTTGCGAAGCCATCTTGCCGGTTGTTTACTAGAGTTACACCCCTTTAGTCATATCGTAGCGAGTAGAATCCGTTGTCTGGACCCAATACCAAAATAGAACAGCAATACGCTGAAAGGCAAGTTCATAATAGCAGACGATAAATCCCGTTAAATATGAAATAAATTTTAAAAATCCTCAAAACGATAAGATAATACTGTCACGTTTACAAAACCATAATTCATTATGAAAGTCGATCAATCGAAGAGGAATATGAATTTAAGAAAGTCCGATTAGAAAGCGATCAATCAAAAATAACCAATATACTTTTTTTTATGTATGTTAGTTATAGTTCTTAAATTAGAAACACATTTATAACAAGGAAGAATTGTGTCTCCAGTTCGCATGCGATTCCTAATGCTGTTGGTCTTTACACACATCGTGTAATGATGGACTTTTAGTTTATAACTTTTACAAAATGTCACAAGTAGTTGTAACGCTTAACACATGATAAAACGATTTGTAAAAATGCTCTGAAGAAAGTTACTGACAAAAAATAAGCTTAACACTTAACACGATAAAATGGTATGTAAAAATGCACCGAAGAAAGCCTTTGACAAAAAACCCGAACCGATTTAATACACTTGACAGTAAAGCGATGTAATCGTGAAAAATTATACTAAATGGGGTCTGATTCAATGAAATATATATTATGTGTCAGCTGTTGACATACATCAGTGTATTGACATACATCAGTGTATTTTACTGAAATTGTGATATTTGAAGCGAATCCTTGGGCACCGTAAGTTGTGGAAGAAATGGAAATCATCACATAGCTGTTCCTCTCGGTTGCACTATATAAGCAATGATCACGATAAGCGGCTAATGTACGTCGTTAAGATTCTTTAGTTTCCTTGATTTGGTTGATCGCCCTTGAGTATGGGTGTCTGGGTACCAACATGACATTACAAACCGTGTACAATACATGGATGAGCGGTTGGTATGATTCCACATACAGATCACACTTGGTGTTTTATGATATCTGTTTTTATTTTTATGATATCTGTTTTTATTTCACATAGATCACACTTGGTGTTTTATGATATCTGTTTTTATTTCACATGGCCGAGTGGTTCTGATTCCACTTGCAGATGTACATGGTGCGTTATGATATCTCCTTATTCTGCATAGCCGAGTGGTTCTGATTCCACTTGCAGATCCGTATAGAGTGTTACATGATATCTGTCCTTATTCTACATGGCTATAGCTTGGTCAGTTTTTATCATTGAAAAATGATGTATGAACCAAAATGAAGTTTTGAATACAAAATGTAACCCACTTTAGAACGTTATGAAATGATGGCATTTTGGCAATAGCATGACGTTTCAAACATTTCTCATGATATATAGCAGTTGAATAGCAAACAGATACAGAGAATTATAGGGATATCTGAACTCTCTGGACGATCAGTCGAAGATATGTGACACCGATTTTACCTATGAATGAGGAGGTAAGTAAACAGAACTGCAGATAATACCGTAGAAAAAAAATCATTACATGGATTGAAACGCAGTACAGTTTCATCAGGATCGTAAGTCCTGTAGACAGTAGCAGATAGCATGGCGATACAACTTTTGGCTGTCGCCTGATTTCTCTCAAAACTCGCAATGAATAGCCTCCGTATCTAATCTTTTTGTATTGTTAGGTGTAAATATGTATTATATATTAACCTTAAAAATAAGGACACATATAAAGAAACACTCTGTAGATTTTAATACGATATTATTTTTTTAAAGTTTCGAAGTCATCACATGTTCTTAATGTCAAAAACAACAACATACACTGAAGAAAGCTCAATCATGAAATGTCAAAGTTCGTAAAAATCTTAGTCAACATGTAAACTAATCAGCTATCAAACCAACTACATACATGGACGTTAACTAACCTCTATAATTCCATTGTTGGGACTAGTTACTCCAGTATGGTTACCCCTGATAACAAGTATAATTCAAATGTGCAAGGTTGCAAGTTACTTCCAAGTATTTGGATTCATTTGGATTCAATCTTCTCAACTATTGAAAGCCCCCACCCCACCTCTTTGTACACAGGTACTCTTTGTGATGTTAAAATAACCGTTATGACTTCACAATACCCATTATAACGCCGTAATATAACTTCCTTCAATAGTCATAATGCCCTCACACTCGGGAACTCTCGGCACTTTCCGCAAGCGAGAAAATACTCTTTTTTCAATTATCTGCTGTACTATCCTTCTGAAATCCAGTTGAGTAAAAGATCAGTCAGCTTTTAGAAATCTTGATATGCCAGATCATGATACATGTCATATGAACACTTTTTACTATTTATCAGCAAGTCGAAACAATTGTCTTCCAGTTCACATCAGGGTCGTTGGTATCCTCTGTGATCCAGAATGTTAAGGTTGAAATGCATAAATACCACTCACAGCAATGAAATAGAATTCGAATGGACAAAGACTATTGCGAGTTTTCCTTGTTAATATTTCAGCACTTTTCACATACGTGTATAATGCACCACAGCGTTTGGCCCTATTATCCTCGAATGTGACCCAATGTGTTGCCAGATCGGCGATTTTATCTGTGAAGGTGGAGTGCCTGACAGAAAGATGTTATAATTTGAAGATTAAGATTGTCCAGAAAAAGGGTCGTTTATTTAGGAATCATACAAAGTAACAACGTACAGATTTTTAACGTGTCATCTCTATTTTCACAATTATCATCATGTCTCAAGTCATTGTGCAGATGTCCGGTTTGGTGATTAAATCCGGGAACTTCCCAACTTCGATGTTGGATATCATGTACGTCATTCTTGAATACCCTTCAACAGAGAGAAAAAAAACATCCCGAAATGATGTATAAAGCAACACGAAACACTGAACTGATATCGTTGACCGACAAGCAAAGGAAACTTCACAGGAGTCAAACATTTCTTTAACATATGCCTACCTCCACTAAACACGCTCTGTTCCGTCTGGTAGATGGGCCAACATTGTTCCACAGATACAGCGCGCAGAATCGTGATATTATCGGATGTGACGTAACGCCACGTAGCGACTTCGATGCCATCGCCACCAGATTGACCAATACGACCCGTTGTAACCAATACTGCATATCCTGTTCTCCCCGAACAAACATTTTAAAATATAGCAAAGCATCATGAATAAAGAGAACTAAAATGTCAATGAAAATAAGATAATTCCTACTAACAAAATTTAAAACAGCTAATTCGACAACATTTAATCATGGACAGTTAAAATCTTATTATTTGTAGTTAAATGTGCAACAAGATCTCCTGAAGCGTGTAAGGCTCACAAAACAGAATATAAATATGACAGAGCCATTTGGAGCGTTGCGTTATTACTTCTGTATTTCACTTGGCGACATTATTCATTTGCGCGTCTCGTTCAGCCAAACTCTTTTGTCTACACACTTGATGAAGCGTCTTGGGGAGAGAGACTACTTGTCGCTATTTCGACATTTGAGATCCGCCATTGGCGCAAATCATTACAGGAAATTCCACTACCGTGTCACAACTTCATGACTGATAGTATTTGTGGAAAATTTCACTTTTTTCTTTGCACGTATTACCTGTGGAACCGCTCGAGCTACGTTCGTTATTAATTATATGACGGATACCACTTGACCCACTCGCGTTAACTATTTATTTGCAAGTACTTAGATCTTCGTCTTAGAGAACTGTGGCAGTACAGGTTCATGTAATAAATTAATTGCTTCAACCATAATACAATTATCATTTTATTTAATAGACAGCAACATGTGTCGCACAAACGATGATATTATTATATAAACCTCTCCCTAAAACATTGAAAAAAAAAACAGCATTTGGGTTTAACATAACGATAACGAGAGTTTATACATGTCAGCATTGTTCAGTTAGAGTGTGGATACATCGCCGGATAAATATTTTCACTTTTAAGAAAGAAAAATTATCGTTTGTTAACTTATATGCTTCCATCACCTTCCACCACTATAGTATACACAAGTTAAAACGATAGCCTAAATGTTTACAAATTTTACATCATGAAAATGTAAATTTTGAGCTTCCACAATCGATTCCTGTCATCTTTATCTAAAATTTATTACAGTTGTTACATATGATTATCTTGACAGGACTAATTTACATCGTTTTTATATAATACGACCAAATATCTTCAATTAAACAATTCTATATAGATAAATAAACTTTAAAAAAATAGAACTTTTGGAAAAAAGTTGCACATTTACACAGAACGGTTGATGCTTGACAAAAGCTGTCAGTTTGATAGGCTATAAGCAGTTTATAGACTGATTAATAATGGGTAAACGTCAGAAATACCGGAATCTAAGAATTAATTGGCAGTATAGGACACAAACTTACAATGTAAATACTTTGCCATAACACTGAATACGACACATATAAATGATATATTTCATAGATTTAAAATTCCAGAGCACTTCATTGGTTTTTGGATTACAGAAGCATTCCCAATTAAACGTTCTTTGTAATTAACAGACGCACCATTTATACTTCATATCTGTACCACGGTGCACTACTCTCAAGAGGTTTGTACCTGGTATACATTTGTCCTGCATGGCCGCTGTGATCCGATCGGGCCGGCATTGACTTCCATCTATTTTATAGGATATATGCTGAAAGAATAAATATTTTAGACCATAGTACTGTAAGTAAAGGACTCTAAAGTGTCATGATTTCAGAGCGCATTTTTTCATCTGCTGCCCCAGTCATAAAATATATTGCCCTTGACTATCATTCCGGCACTTCATTCCTTCATAATTTGGTTTGTGCTCTTTCAATTTTTGACGGATGAAGATTTTGAAATCAAATCTTGTATTTAGTCTTAAAATGAGAGAATTGAGGCGAGATATTCTATTTTGTTCCGGCCAAAGCACTGAAGCTAGAGAATTCGCTTTCACTTTCTCACACACTCTCAGTTCAAGCTAATTTTCTCAGTACTTGATGGGTCCATCTTGTGCCCACCAGGCAATTAACTTGTTGGAAGATGTCACGATAAGCTCACATACATACACTATTCAAACCACCTGATTTAGGCGGTTTTATTGAAAATCTGCGGTTCCATGCTTCTTAATATTGTAGCAATTTCTGTGGGTTTATTCATTTTTTTGTTTTTTTTTCTTTGAAGAAGTGCCAGGTCTTCAAAATTACGTTGAAAATGCTTTAAAATGGAGACCCTACAAGCCCTGGCCTTTGGGCCTCTTTGCCCTACTCCTTCCCTCTCCATTTCTGGTTCAGTCAGTAGTCACTGGAAACGTTAGCAATCAATTTTTCACTCTGCATTACTCCAATTTAATTCTAAAATCAATTCTAAAATCTTCTTTGAGCTTCCACTAAAAATGATGTTTCGAAGTCTCGAGTGTACCTCTAAAACCCCAATAACACAAACAAGTTCCATAATCCGGATCTCATTAATTGTCTGCGAAGACATTTGTGTCACATCGACACATCTTGAATCACATTATATTTAAGCGAAGTTGTAAAACCGAGATATATTCTTTAACAAAACGTTTGGTTGTCTGAAAAGAATATGTAAAAATTATAACTATAACTAACTGAAAACTTTAGAAGAAAATCTAGTGATAAATGGACTACATGAATGTTGTTCTAAACGATTAATCACTTACATCACCAACAGGTGTTCAAGGATGATAACCATTTCTGTAACTTCAAGGATATTTGAAAACAAATACCTCATATTCATAAACAGAATGTTAACACATGCTCTGTGCCCTGGAGAGGCTGCGTTTCCAATCACACCAGGTATAACAGAAAGATAAGACATTTTCAGTTGTAATTTGCATCCATCACACGTTATTACTTACCTGATCATAATATGTTAGTTCTGAGTGTACAAAGCTGACCCCGCTTGGTAGTGAGACATCAGTGTCGGTTCTTGTGACGTTCAAGTCGTAATCGTTGTAAAGACGTACTCTCCGCTAAAATAAAAACTTTCTCAACAAACTAATCGCCTTAAATACTGTTAATTTAGTAATACCCCATTGTAAATTCCACTCTAGAAAGCATACTATATATGTTTTACTGTCGACCCAAGCAACTTGTGTTTTGCCTTAATTTACTTTTAGACCAGAACATTTGTAAAGTTATTTAATTCATTGAATGATTCATTTTCTTTACCGTCTAAAATAATTGAAGTATCATCTGAATATTAAGATAATAAAGTTGGAACATTATCTATGTTTATACCATTTAGATTCTTGTTCTAATAGCAAGTATTTCAACACATAGTATGGAAATATAAGGAGCAATAGGGTCTCCTTGACGACAGCCTCTCCGTATTTCGAAAAAAGATGAACGATTACCACCTTGATTTACAGAAAAGAGTGCATGGGCATGTAACGTTTTTTATGCACTTGCATATATCAACCCCCACCCCACCCCTCCAAAAAAGATGGAATATTATAGATAAAATCCAAACTAACAGAATCGAAGGACTTTTCAAAATCTATACATAAGAGCATACCAGGTATTTCATTTTCTTCCGCGTACTCCATGATATCATTAATTAGCCTTGTATTTCCCCTTATATACCTCCTTGCAATAAAACCAGTTTGATCCCTATTCATTAATTTGTTCAAAACCTGTTTTAGCCTATTTGCTATTGGTCCTGATGCTACTTTGTTTATAATATTGAGTAGGAAACTGGTCTCCAATTTTGTTTTAAAAAACTGCCTAAATTTGTCTCTCACAGGTGTATATGTAATGATTCCCTTTCTTTTGAGTTATTGATAGTTTACTATTGATAAATTCATAATTAACTGATCTTAACATGAAATTTCTTAATTCACTCCCAAAGCATTTTTCTTTTTCTGCCATTGGAATAATTTTAGAAGTAAAATTAAGGTTTTCTAGATTAAAAATACTTTGTTGGTTTCTACCCCTCTTCCACCCAGTTTTGCTTTAGAACGAATGATACTACATTTCATTTGTGTTGCCTAATTTTTTCTAATTCTTTTTTTCTTCTCCTTCTTCAAAATGTTTTTTTTTTAAGAATTCTAAAATTTTTATTGATTCTATAAGAGTATTTTCTTCTTCTAAATTTTACTGTTTTTTCCTTGAATGCTGAGTACGATATCGTTTTCCCTATGATTTCAATTAGGAGCATTTCTAAAAAGAGTTGATCATCGATTTGGCACTGGATCTCAATATCAGGAATAATATTTAGAAACTCAGAGTTGTACAAAAGAAGAGCGCTTGTAATTTTATATAAAAATAAGCTTATTAATTAGTTCTAAAGAATTTGAGTCATGCAATAATGAATTATTAAACTTTCAGAGACCCTTTCCCGTTGGAATTCGTTAAATTTAATTGATATACTTGGTGAGCTAATCGCCTTAAATAATTGAGAATACCTTTTGTTCTCAAGTAACGTTGCCATTTTCAATATTGATTTTTATAAACGGCATTTTAGATACAATTATCTTCACGTAGATATACTAAATGTTACGATTTCTATCCGTCATTGTGATTGTACAAATGTTTAAAACATCATTTTATCAAGTAATCTGTTGCAATCTCGCTGTAATGGCATTATGATAGTATAGCTGTTATTGACTGAAGGTTCCCATAGTTTCCATTGTGACGTCAGAATCTCATGGCGTCAAATGGATTGTGACGTCAATCAAGACAGGTATAGAGAGGGAACATTGCTTTATTTTTCGCCGGAAAATATGCAAAAGTATCAAAGTTGTGTGATAAAAAGAGTCTTATATCTGTTTCAGTTTCATATGATATTTATGAACTTCCTCACGAAAGAACCGGTCCACGATACATGTAATTTGGCCCACATCCCAATTTAATCTTTATTGTGTATTATTTGTACTACCCAGTAAACTACTAAGAATGTATGTTTAAAAGATCCAAAAGTCACATATGGCCTGTACTATGACCTATTCTATGATCCTTGTCTTGGGTATGAGCTAGGGTGCACATCTTTGTTCAAAATTTGTTCAAATAACAATGGTAAACCATTTAATTTGGTCAAATCCTCTTCCTTAAAGTCTTCTGCATGTTTTGAAGCTAAATGTTACAAATACAAAAAGTTCTTGAGGTTTAAATGGGGAAAAGGGTTTTTTTTTTTTGCAAAAATCTCAACAAATTCAAGTTTTGGAAAACTGGGACATGATTTTACTTACATCCGCAAATGTGTTCATCCCGGAAACAGGATCAGTGTATCCTCCTGTCACGTCCATCTCACATCGAAATTGGGACGGAACACAGCAGCGTGTGACAATGACGTCATTTTGACCATTGTTGCCACCTACAAGGACAGAGATGACCAGTATCAACAAAGGAACTAACAGCATACCGATATTTGGTTTTACTGTTTGACAGTCGAAAGTTTTGACGATATCTGCTTAGATAGTGGAAAGCACTTGATGACCTATAACGCACTGGATGGTCTTTGGAGTTTGATAAGAATGACCGTGATTATTTTTCATTTTCTGGTTTGGACAGACGTAGGGACGAATCTTTAAGGACAAATATCGATGAGAAAACAACTACATTAAGCCATCTTTTGATGAGCCCCTAGTGTTTGTCTTGATTGACTGATGCCATTAACATGGTGAATATAGTACCTAAAAGGATACAAAATCCGAAACTTTAAGTACATTTGCATAAAGTACAGTTAAATAATGAATTAAACCGCACCACAAAGCTGTTTCGTCATTCTAGGTCTCGTCAATGTTGCTAGGGGCCTAGTAGTCTAAGGAAAATTTGAAAAAATGTCAATATATAAGTGAGGATGGACACAAACCCCAACATTCAACCAATTTCATTTTATTTAATGCTGACCAATTCCAAAGGAACGTCAAGAGCATGAATATTCTTAACCAAATGAATGCAAACGTAGCATTTAGGGTTACCGCTGACCTCAGGGGCTCAAGTCTACCACAAATTCATAAATTACTCATGTAAAATTGTCGAAACATTGTTTCAGACGTACTGACGATAAGGTCAGATAAACGATCTAACGATAAACGATGACACAGATAATACCTTATACCTATGTGAATGTTATTGATAAAAAACATGGACCATGTATCATACAGATAATGATTGAATAAGGTTTGTCTTGGTTATGTCAGGTGGAGAATTTACATAAAATACTAAAGTGTTGGCTACAAATTTTCACCTTGTTGTGCTTTCCTTTATTTTTCTATCTTTAAGATAAATATGATACAAAGAAAATAGTGAATCATCAAGAAACCTCTATTTTAATTAAATATATACTTGTATATTGCATATTAAAGCTTGTATATAAAGACATTTTTAGGGTTAGCTAAACTAGGGTACTACAGTACACAAGGAAGTTAGTTTTACTTTCGGGTTATATACTGAGTCATGTCAACAGGAAAAACCTGTAAACTTATACTCATCTACGACAGACGTAAACACACAGGGAAGGCTGTGATGAGGTACTGACCTGAAAATATTTATTTACACAACAATATCAAGGTAAGGTGATACATTAGTTTAAACTATTTCTCTGATATTATTTAAGCAATAGTTTGATCAATTACTACATCAGAACGTCATCATAATAATTTCATTTCCTCACTTGTCGTTTCCGCTTTTGGAAATTATCTTAGCTCATAATAAAGGCCCGTTGTCTGCACATCTCCTCACGCAAATTTACAGTTTAATATATCGTAAAGATGATGGAAAGACACACTGTGTGACTTATATACACTGTGCATTGTTTTTAAAATTATACCAAGAAAATGAATATTGTACGCAGTCTTAAACAATGAAATGTATACTGTAAGAAAACAAGGAAGTTGCTTTCACTTTCGCTTCACTTAGGCCTAAATTGTTTGTTGTGCTACAGGTATGGACATGTTTACCAAGTATGATTAAATGTCAGCCATTTTCTTTTTTTGACACAGTGCCAACTGACCTAGCCGTACGGGTACGTCATTGAGATTTAACGTGAGTACACAGACACAGCACAGGCGATAACAGAATGTAATCATACATATTGTGAGTTTAGACTCTGTAGATGAATGTAACTTGATGAACTTCGATTGTCACATTTTAATATACATCAATAAATTGTCGTTACATGCGTTACTGTACTCTGACGTAGTATTTGTAGCCCTCATCAATCTCTGTATTATATACATTTCTCATCCTCAATTCTGTTTACGTTGTCCCTTAACATTTTCAGAGTAGGAACTAAAGCCGACTTTTAAACATGTCTAAAGGAGGGGATCCATCGAAAGACGGTGCAACTATTAAAGCAACTAAAATTCACAAGGAAACGAAAAAGGTGACTCAAGCAAGCTCTGTTACTCCAGCATTACCGGTTATTTCTCTTCCCATCACTGAACTGCCAACCGCAGGAAAACTGGAATTTCAACCTTCACCAATACATGTAATGAGTATGAATGCAGGCGGTCCCAGTGACGGGAAAGGTTCTGCCAAGATTCGGAGAGAATATTTTGCAGGAGTAGTTCTGGATAATGAGCCCGAGATTTTCTTGATTCAGGAATTCCGATGGCAGGGTATCCGAGGAGATGTTTGGAAGGACACCCCTCTACCTGATCGCTATGAATACACCGGCAACATGGAAGCAAGTATTATGTACGATTCTAAACGCTTTCGACTTACAGAGTTATCTCAAACAAAGTTGCAGGCGCCTTTAGACGAATTGAAAAGAAAAGGAAAAGTATCACAAGACTTTACACCTATAGCACGTAGTTGCGTGCGACGTTTGGAGATTAAGGACCCATTATCTACAGAAGCTTTCAGAGTTCTTGTTGTATCGTGGCACGGTATACATTCTCGAACAAATGAAGCAGAAAAGAAGACACAATTTCGTTATCTGCAAATCTATATGAAGGAACTGTCTGAGCGCGAAGAGGCCGTTGTACTTCTTGGCGGAGATTTCAATATCAGGATTGACCGCATCAGAAGTCTTGTTGATCCTGGGGAGTTCATCCTGTATGAGTATCAACCGTCAAAGCGACGGAAGGGAAACATCATAGATTATTTCATGGCTTCTCCAGCATTGTCTCTCACAGACGTGAAGTACATTAACTTGGCCGAGATAAGGAAATTGACAAGCCATGATCCTTACAAAGTACTAGATCACGATCCAATTTCTGCAGTCATGACCAAAAAAAAGGGTACAAATGAATCGATGATTCCACCACCGAAGATATCTGTACAGAACACACTGTTAGCGACAGGAAGAGCAAATTAAGATAACTGCTTTACAGATGCCAATGTTATAAACTGCCATTGTTATTCAATAGGTTGCATTTTTTATTTTATTAGTTATTAAACATACCACAATACAGATCCTAGTATCTAATGTTAAGGATAGAAAAACGACCGTTGAAGGAAGACAATAGTTTTTTTTAAAATATATTTTATCATATATTATATCATATGTCAAATATTCACCTTATTTAATGTAATGTAATGATTTAACACTTACTTCGAATGTCATTTTCTTTTCAAAACTGTTGATATTGATTTGTAGGCTATTAACTTATCGTCAATAGTAACATGTTTTGATATGTATTTTACAAAAATGTTTCATTAAACTGTAGCGCCGAGTGTTTTCAGTGTTTACTTCCGTGGCATACGTTGTCACGTGATCGTTTATTTTCGTTTTGTGGTGTCATGTGATTCGTTGTCACGTGATCGTCTTGTCCTACTTTCGTTTTACCTGTAATCGGTGTGTTTGTGACGTATTATGCATGTATTGTCAATCACCTGTCCATCATTTGTGCTGACTTGACAAGTTTGACTGACCCCTGACATGGTAGGAGACACGTTCTCCACGCTGATTTTTCGCGCCTTCTTCTTTTCTGTCTTTCTGTCCTGTCTTTGTCTCGGCACTTCTCAGCTAGCAGAGGACCTGTTCACATCTATTTGTCTCTTCTCGCTGTGCGGCTATTAATCCTATCTATTTCCCTATATATGTTTGTAAATAGTTGCTAATAATTAAAACCTAATTATTAGGCTGGAGTAAAGTTAATACCTTAGCTCTAGAGTCCTATTAACGTATTTTTGATATTTATAAAATAACAGCTAAAAGTAGTCGTTATTTCCTAATTATTTCTTTATTATATTCCTAAGTCTAATATTAGCTATGATCCTAATATTTTTCTAAAATGTCAGTGTAATTATCTTTATTCGTAATATTTCCAAGCTTGTCAGTTCGTCTAGAAAGTTGGTGGAAATTGCGTCAAGTATCGTTCTTATAGTAATGTGTATTGAAATGAAGGTCATGTGCGTTCATGTCTGATTTGTACTTGTTTGTTATTTTTAATATATTTTACTGGGATTTTAATTCCCGGATAAATAAACATTTCCAGGTAACAAACGGGTTTTAGTCGTAATGTCGCTCCTGGCAAAAGAACACTGGATGGATTGTTACAAAACCAAAAACAACATGGCCAAGTTACTACAGAACTAACTAGAACAGGTTATAGAGATAGAAGGCAATAAATACAGTAGTGGACAGTATTAGAGCATAAAGTAACAGTTCACAGTATAGTTTATCAACAAGTTCAGCGAGGTAGTATACACTTTGACTATAATGGTTTATACTCTGGCTGGAAATTTTAAGTGTGGTAGTATACGCTATGATTAAGATGGTATACACTCTGGTTGTAACATCAAAACGATGTAATATACACAATATATGGTTTATACTCTGTCTGTAACTTTAACCTGAGGAAGTATACAGTGATGTAGTATACACTATGCTTAAGATGGTATATACTCTGACTTTACCTTCAAATTGAGATAGTATACACTATGCTTAAGACGGTATCGACTCAAGCTGTAACTTAAAAGTGAGGTAGTATACTCTGCTTAAGATGGTATATACTCTGGCTGTAAATTTAAACTGAGGTAGTATACTCTATGCTTCAGATGGTATATACCCTGGCTGTTAATTTAATGTGAGGTAGTATACAATATGCTCAAGACGGTATCTACTCTAGCTGTAACTTTAAATGAATTGTAAAATGCATTAATTATGATACCAGATGGATAATGCTCAGAAGGTACAGCTGTTTTTAAAACTAGCAAAATATCAGCAAGATTATTTGCGGCTTCCACAACTAAATAATAGTAATTCAAAGACATCTTTTTATATGTCAGTGGCATAAGACATCGGGCTTGGTATTTATTTGTCAGTGGGGTAGGACCTCAGGTTTAGTATTTCATTTGTCAGTGGGGTAGGACCTCAGGCTTGGTATTTCATTTGTCAGTGGCATAAGACATCGGGCTTGGTATTTATATGTCAGTGGGGTAGGACCTCAGGCTTGGTATTTATTTGTCAGTGGGGTAGGACCTCAGGCTTGGTATTTCATTTGTCAGTGGGGTAGGACCTCAGGCTTGGTATTTCATTTGTCAGTGGGGTAGAACATAAGATTGGGTATTTTAATGTCAGCAGGTAGAACTTCAGACTGAGTATTTTAAATGTCAGAGGGGTAGAACATCAGACTGGGTATTTTAAATGTCAGCGGGGTAGAACATCAGATTGGGTATCTTAAATGTCAGCAGGGTAGAACTTCAGACTGAGTATTTTAAATGTCAGAGGGGTAGAACATCAGACTGGGTATTTTAAATGTCAGCGGGGTAGAACATCAGATTGGGTATTTCATATGTCAGCGGGGTAGAACATCAGATTGGGTATTTTATATGTCAGCGTTGTAGAACCTCAGACTGGGTATTTTATATGTCAGCGTTGTAGAACATCAGATTGGGTATTTTATATGTCAGCGGGGTAGAACCTCAGACTGGGTATTTTATATGTCAGCGGGGTAGATCATCAGATTGGGTATTTTAAATGTCAGCGGGGTAGAACCTCAGACTGGGTATTTTATATGTCAGCGGGGTAGAACATCAGACTGGGTATTTTATATGTCAGCGTTGTAGAACATCAGATTGGGTATTTTATATGTCAGCGGGGTAGAACCTCAGACTGGGTATTTTATATGTCAGCGGGGTAGAACCTCAGACTGGGTATTTTATGTGTCAGCAGGGTAGAACTTCAGACTGGGTATTTTATATGTCGTCGGTATTTTAAATCAGAGTATGATGTAATGACCTGTAAGAAATTAGAAATATAATAGTAATATAATGACTGTTACAATTTAATCATTCACTCCGTATACTATATTTCAAAGACAGCAAGAAAATACCAACATGTGAACATAATCATAATCAAAACTCAAATTCAATAAAACTAGGGAAAAGATAGTTTTCACTGAGACTCCTGAAAACGTTCAAGGAGAATAAGACCGCGCCTTCAGGAAGATTAAGCGTTTTCTGCTTCATGGACGACATCCGGTTTGTTAGTGTTAATGTTGTAATGTCACGTTCTCAAATAAGAACAAGGTATACAGCAACGAGCAGCAAAAACTTCCAGCTTATCATCGCACTACGAAATAGAATATTTCTCATCGAGATCACCATGGCGACCGTAAAACCACCTCATAATTTTCATCAAACAATCTTTTGAAACCCTGTGTTTGGACTTTGTACATCATTTGATGATAATTGCACGAGCATCGTGATATTGGGAACAGGCCCTTGGGTATAGAATCAACTGCAAAATGTAAACATCATAGGTTTGGGATTCAAGTAAGTTGCTGTCAAGAAACGGAAAATTCACGAAAGGGAAAATTATATCATTACTCTTATCATAAAGCTTGGATGAAAGCTGTCGGTGTTGGTGTCGTTGAAAATATCGACATAAGCGGCTGATTTAAAGGAGCCAAAATAATAGATTGTAAAATAGATTCGGTATAGTTAATTCTACGCTATTTTTCTCATCACAAAGAAGAAATTTCTTACACTGTTTCAGTTATATATATGTTTAGAAATGTAGCAAAGAAGAGTCCATTATAGCTGTCTGATGTCCACATTCTCCAGACTCTTGATTTCATTGTTGGTGTACCGTTATCTAGGTGTCCTTGATGTTTGGAGTAATGGTCGATATATGACGTCAGCATTGTATTCTGAACGTCATAAAGAATAGTTCTTTGTGATGACGTATCAGAATAAGCATAACAGGAGCTAACATTGAATAAGGCATCAGTAGAGTCTGCTATTTACGAAGCTTTAAGTGGCATAGTTTCCTGTCACAGGTTTGTTTTATATTTAAAAGCAGTACAATTAAGGTAGGACTTGCAAATGTTCAGATATTGAAAACGCGATCTAATGCCATTGCTTCAATTCTGAAATATAATTTTTATTTGCCCTCCTGTAACGAAAATGATCATAATATGTCTATTTATAACCATAATATACTATTGTTTACATAAAGAAAGCCTTTGTAAGGTAGACGGTTAAGACAACATAATGGGACCATGTGTAAAATATTCGTGTAATGCGTCGATGAATCATGGAACTGTCGCATACAAGGAACTCAAAGTAAATAAAGATGACAAAACTCTACAGTCATGTATGGTGGTTTAGAGATCAAAGGAAAACATACGGAAATCTGTTTTTGCCACAACTGATCATTTTATGCGCCTTTCGATTGTCAAGCTGGTTCAAATGCTTTGTTTCCATAATTATCGGTTTTTGCGTTTACCAAGGGGCATTGCTCTGTTTTCCCTCAGAGTTCTGACATTCATCGACACCAAACCGATAAAAAAAGTGATGATTACAGATCAACAGATCCTTGTGGTGGGTAGTCAGATCAATAATAACTTGTAGGAACAAGTCAGATCAATAAAACCTGATGACAATACGTCAGACCAATACTTTCTGATGAGAATTAATCAGGTCAATGAGGTTCAGTCACATCATTGATACCTGGGAAGGATTAGTCAGATAAATAGTTCCTCTTTAGGAAATCTCCAATCAATAGTAACTGAAGGAATAGACAATTTAACAGCTCCTGATGAGAATTAATCAAATCAACAGTTCCTGATGAAAATTTATCAAATTAACAGTTCCTGGTAAGACATTAATCAAATTAACAGTTCCTGGATAAGAATTTATCAAATTAACAGTTCCTGATGAGAATCAATCAAATCAACAGTTCCTGATGAAAATTTATCAAATTAACAGTTCCTGGTAAGAATTAATCAAATTAACAGTTCCTGGTAAGAATTGATCAAATTAACAGTTCCTGATGAGAATTTATCAAATCAACAGTTCCCGATGAGAAATTATCAAATTAACAGTTCCTGATGAAAATTTATCAAATCAACAGTTCCTGATGAAAAT